ATTAATTGTAAATCATTCATAATTTTACATATAATTTCTCGTAGAGGAACAGAGGGAAATTATTGATCTTTCTTTGGGATATAGCTGAAATTTAAACCCTATATCAAAATGGTAGCTAATTATTTAACATTAATGAACATGGCTTGTGTGTAAACTATCAAGTTTACACTGTTCTTAAAGGTTTTCTCACACAGTGAAAAATCAGAACATGGTAAAGTACAGGAAATAATATTAAGGGAACCACAAGCCTGTCTTTTCCACCATAGAAATTCCAGGAACTGCTTTTGTTTCCAAAAAAGGAATCAGAAAAAAATGGATGAAGTTCAGAATTATCTGGAGTTGAAGTATTACTATTAGCTGTAGGCTATATTCATGGGAGTTTGAAATTGAACATTGTGGTATTTCTACATTGATGTATTCATGTGCAAATATCCTCAAAATTCCACTGCATCACTTGCAGGATCTGTGTTATCAATGCATAATGCTAAATTTTTGCCTATAGAGCTCAGAGGGATTTTACAGACATCCTTAGTAATCTTAGTTAAACTCGGGATAAGATAGTATACACTGATATCCATTAAAGCAACCTCATTCTTTTCTCTAGTCTATCACTACAAGAATTCCAGAAGGCAGCAATATAGGTACTAGATCATCTGTCTCTGTGTATACTGGGGTGTAACATTCTGCAAACAAAGCAAGAAGAAGCACAGCTGAGGGAGACAATCTCTGTGCATGCTTCTAATACAGCTCGTAGACAAAGGATCATTTACAACACTTACTGCCCCCTCTATGACTGGATGGAAAATCTATTATCACATATTTGGCTATGTCAACAAGTGCTTGGGCATGCTTGTGCCCAGAGTGATTCTTTTAAGAGAATTTTAGAGCCACCTTTTTAAATCATTGTGAATATTTATGAAGCATAAATGTTGAAGAACTTTAGCATGTGCTATGCTAAGAGAGGAAATATTTTTAGCAGCTAGATCCACATCCTTCATAACTTGCAAGATATTCTTTAGAAGTTTATTTTTTGCCTTATTCTGGGTCTTGTCATGTTAGCTGTCTTCATTTGACTCCTGGAGCTCGATTATTTGCACAAGAGTTCCTGATAACATTAAAACAAGAGATCTTTCTTGGTTTTATACTGCCTAAATATTGAAGGCAAATATCAAAGTGCAAAGTTAATGTTTTACCAAATCTTAAAAAAAAACACCACCAAGGGTAGACATAGGACCTCAAGAAGGTTTTATTTGGTTCAGTTTTATTCTCATAATATTAAAGATGACCAAAAGGTAATAGCTGGATTTTTAAAAAAAAATCTAGGTTCAGAAAACAGATGCTGCCTTTTTTTTTTTTTTTTTTTTCTTAACTAGAATCTATTAGATAGCCTTAAACTGAAAAACGTTGCAAAGTAGAACAGGTTTGAACATTGGCTACTTGGAGAACTTGTGTCCATGACTTGACCAATTCCTTTTAAAAAAAAAAGCCCAACGTAAGAGGCAAAATAGGAACAGAAAGAAATTGATTTTTACTGGAAGTGTTCTTAGAAGAAATTCCAGCTGCTTGAAGTTCAAACATAGAGTTTTCTTTAAAAGTCTTCTCATCAAGAGAAAAAGCATTCAAGTAAATGTCTTATTTTAAAACCCATCTGCAGTCCTTTTTTATGTATGAAAAAATTTATGCATGAAAAATGTTTCTTGAAACCCTTTCCTCTCAAAAATATGTTGAGAAGTAATTTTTGATATAAATATACCCTTGTTATACTTGTTGATAAACTGTATTTCACTATTAATTTATTTTGTACTTCTTAATGTCACTTTTATATAATAAAACAGAGTAAAAAAACATGAAATTTTTATTTTATACAACTCGATTCTTTAGCATGTTTAGTTAATGACTTATGGTAATCCCATCAGTCACTATCTCTGCTGAAATCTTCAGACTTCCCTTTGTATTGCTTCTCAGTTTGAGAACTTGTGGTGGGTTGGCCTTGGCCAGCAGCCAGACACTCCCCCAGCTGCAGGGGGACAAAATGGGATGAGAAAGCTTGTGCATTGAGATACAGATGAGGAGATTGCATACTAGTTACTATCACAGGTAAAACAGAGTTGACTTGGGGAAAATTATTTTATTCATTAAAATAGATTTGGATAGTGAGCAACAAAGACAAAAAAATTAGCGTCCTCCTGCCTTTTAAGCGCAAATTAACTCCTGACTCCTCTACCCATGCCCTGTGACACGGGGGATGAGGGGAGAGCAGTCGATCTGTAACAACTCCTCTGTGCTGCTCCTTCCTCCTCATGCTGCTTTCCTGCTCCAGTGTGGGCTCTCCATGGACTTCAGTTCCTTTGGGAACTCTACATGTGGGACATGTGCTCCAGCATGGTCTTCTCCATGGGCTCCAGGGAAATACCCAACCCAGTGCCCCAAGCTGTTCCCACCTCTGCTCCTTCTCTGACTTTGGTGTTCACAGGTCTGTTTCTCCCTACTTTTTCCCCCTCTTTCTCTGCCTGTGTGGTGGGTTTTTGCCCTTTCTGGAATACATTTTCCCCAGAGGCACCCCCATCATGGCTGCGGGGTTCAGCTGTGCTTGCAGCGGGTGGGTTGGAGCGGCTGGAACCAGCAGCATCTGGCACAGGGCAGCCCTGGCCTCTTCTCTACAGCGGCCCCTGCAGCCCCCGCTGCCCACCCCTTGGCGCCTGCACCTGGTACGGCACTGTAACTGCCTCTTCTTCAGCCTCCCTGGATCCCTGTTCTCTAAACTCTGTTTCCTGTGTAAAGCACTACCATAGGAAGTCATCCCAGTGAGTTAGCCTGTACAGAGACAGAAAATTGTTTGTTTCCTCTTGTACTCCTAACTGTTAAGAGTCTCGACAAGCTTTATGGCCTGGCAGAGTTTTCAGCCTGTCCCAGCCCTGGCTGCTTAGGATT